CGTGACCTTCTCAAGGCTGAGGAACTCATATTTCCCCACACTACCTACTGTGGAACTCTGCTCTCTGTAGGAAGAGAGGCCCAGATCCTTTTGCTTGTTGGGTGAAACAGTGTTTCACCGAGGTTATAGTCACTATTGGAGACGCAGAGGCATCACGTCTTTGCGCTTGGACTTCTCTGTTCTTGCCTTGTTGCAGATGAAAGCCTCAGAATGAATAGCTGTGCTGAACTCACCCAGTGGATTAAATGCTCGAATCTAGGTGCTTTCCATGGTGAGCAGGATGGTGCTTGCTCTGTTTGTGACTATTAGGTGGTCAACTCCAGCATGTCCTTGCCTGGGAATGGCGTGGGGTGGGGTGAGCTGTTAAGGATTCTCTGGGCTTATAAACACCGTAGGGAATCTTAGATTGATGATGTCGATCTCTGCTACTGGAAATGTGGTCCCTGGGCCAGCAGCGTGGCGTCACCTGAGAGCTTGTACCACAGAATCCCAGGCCCCATCTTGGACTTCCTGGATCATAATCCACATTTTAGCAACAGCTGTAGGTGGTTTGTATAGCCACTGAGGTTTGAGAAGCACTAATGTTGAATACTGGATGTGGATCTTAGAGTTCAGGCTCCCCTTTCTCCACGGAGGGGCCTTAATGGTTCTGTCTGGCTAGAATTTATCCCTGGTTTATATCTGACTCCCTTATAGAACTGAAGAAGAGGTTTCTTCTTATTATTATTTTTAGTTTTTATTTTATTTCTTGGCCACACAGCATGTGGGATCTGAGTTCTCTGGCCAGGGAGTGAACCTCTGCCCCCTGTTTTGGAAGTGTGGGGTCTTAACCACTGGACCGCCAGGGAAGTCCTAAGAAAAGGTTTCTAATTGACTAAGAACTGTGGGATTGAGAAAGGAAATGGGGAAGGAACAGAATATGAAAAAATTGTTCCTGATTGGACACTTTAAGATTTACCTTAAATTAGTGATTGAGCTCAGGGTCTGTAAGACTTTGCTTATGGAGCCAAGTGAGTCAGATTTTTCTTAACCTGAATCATTAACTGCTACTTATTGGCCATCATGTTCTATTCATTAACTTGGCTTTTCTGTCTGGTTATTTCCTTTAGGTAAATATATTTTAAATAGATGTAAGAGAAACATTTTTATTTCCTTTAAATGGCTATTTTCTGAAATAACTAGTGATGAAAGACTGTGTCATTTTATTGATGGGATTTTACCAGCACAATATTTTCAGTAGTCCTGGGCCTTAGGATGAAGCATAAAGATTTTTGTTTTTGGTTTCCTTTCTAAAAAATAATCATAATGTTTTTAAAGTTAATTTTTATTGGGGTAGAGTTACTGTACAATGTTGTGTTCATTTCTACTGTCCGGCACAGTGACTCAGCTATATGTATACATGTGCCCCCTCTGTTTCGGATTTGAATGTTGGTTTTTAGTGTCTTTTCCCCTGCATCCCTGTTCCAAAGGGGCATGTTGCTAGAAAGGCCTCATCACATGACCTTTGTGCCTTTCATCAGTTGATTGACTCTCCCCCAACTTGACATTTTTGAGATGAGGCAGTGAGCTGTGGACCAGGGATGAAGTTGGGCTAAGGCTTTGAGTTCTTTGCGCTGCACTGCCTGGGTGGGCAATGTGGGCCTCCCAGGCCCTGATGCAGTCAGTCTTTAAATGGAAGGAATTGGACCAAATCTATGATTTTCACTGGATGTGGGCCGAAAGATTGTTGCTGAGCTGTGAAAGATGCTGGGATTCTTGGCCTCCGGAGGAGAAGAATTCAGTCTGGGGCCAGTGATGAGGCTTGATAGCTCAGAGCTTTTGTGTAATAAAGTTTTATTAAAATATAAAAGAAATAGAGAAAGCTTGTGACATAGACATCAGAAGGGGGCAGAAAGAGTGCCCCCCAGCTAGTCTTTAGCCGGATATTATATAGCTACTAGCAGAAGCAGCAGTCTGCTAATTAGAGAAAGGAAATGTCTCAAAACACAGAGACTCGCATCAGGTCCTTCACCCACAACATGCATTTTGAGATAACGCTGGCCCAAGGTGAGTTGTCCCGGGCCATAAAATGATCGACTTGAATCTTGAAGAAAGGCACGTTTCCAAGCAAATACAGCCTCATTAACATAGCTGAAAAGAATATTTGCCTGAGTAAAGCATACTGGTTTGTCAAGTTGGTTCTGAGTCTTAGGCAGAACTGACTTGAAGACAAGAGTCCTGGGCAGTGTTAACATAGCTCAAGACAAGCATTTCCATAAGAAAAACGCATTGGTTAGCTCAGAGTTTGAGAAAAGTTCAGTTCAGGTGGAACCAGGTGTCGTCATGGCAACACAGAATTTTAAAAGAAACCTCTTTTTAAATTTGTATAGAGAAGGGGAAAAAAATCCAACCCTTGTAGTTTGCTTCCTCCTGCCACTTAAGAGAGAGATAAAAAGTGTCTGACACTGGAGACCCCTGGGCTTCCTGCCTGTTACCCTCTCGGGGCTCTATGAACAGGTTGTGTGTGTATTAGGATCTTGGGTGTGGGGAACACATGTTTCAGACACACAGTACTGTTGTCTTTATTTGGAAAATAGAAAAAACTTTTTTTTTTTTAAACGAGAGGCGGAATGTAAAAGTGTGATACGATGTTAGGAGGTTAATGTGGGATGGAAAGCACATGGGACCACCAGTTAGCTGCAAGTAACAAAATTTTTAGTGACTACAGAGTGCCAGTTATTGTTTTAAATTTTCGATATGCACGTACTTTCACTTAAACCTCAAAGGTCCCTAGAATATCAGTCCTGATAGTATACAGACAGACAGGTGAAGTGTCTTGCTCAAGGTCATCACATTGTGTGGGTGGATGTGGGATCCAAACCCAAGCTGAATCGGCAGCTTGACTGTATATCTGCTACCTCTGCATCCATAGTCTGATATGAATCGAGATCACTTTAATCTGTGCTTTACCTTCTGAAAAAAAGTTTTGTAATGTATGTAACTTGTATGCAATTGCCCCTCAGTCCTCAAGTGTGGGAAAGAAAACAAACAAAAATTCTGTTTTCCTCTAAATCCAATTAAAAATTTGGTTCCGGGACTTCCTTGGTTGTCCAGTGGTTATGTTGTAGCCACGCGTTCTGGGAAACAAACTCACTCAGAAGGACAATGCAGATAGTGGAGTGCAATTTATTACACCGGCGGGCCCAAGGCAGAGTCTCCTCTCAGCCAAGGACCCCGACCAGTTTTTGTGAAAACCTTATATACCCTAAGTGTGCGTGCTCAAACCCACCTTCCCAAATTCTCTGAAACTAGTCTAAACAAAGGAAAAGAAAGATACAATCAAAGTTAACCCGTGATTCGTATACCTTAAGCCTTGAGAGTCCCTTGGACTGCAAGGAGATCCAACCAGTCCATCCTAAAGGAGATCAGTCCTGGGTGTTCATTGGAAGGACTGACGCTGAAGCTGAAACTCCAGTACTTTGGCCCGCTCATGTGAAGAGTTGACTCATTGGAAAAGACCCTGATGCTGGGAGGGATTGGGGGCAGGAGGAGAAGGGGACGGCAGAGGGTGAGATGGCTGGATGACATCACCGACTCGATGGACATGGGTTTGAGTAAACTTCGGGAGTTGGTGATGGACAGGGAGGCCTGGCATGCTGCGATTCATGGGGTCACAAAGAGTTGGACACGAGTGAACGACTGAAGTGAACTGAAGTCTAGGTAGTTAACAGTGGACAGTTATCAATAGGCCTGTGGTCATACCCCAGTGAGCATAATAGGATTTATGATTCTATTCGGTTACATAGATAATTGGGATATTCTTTTAGGCGACGGAGAGTCTAGGTACGAACCCTGGGGCTCTTCCATCCAGGGGATCTGGTTTTTCAGTTGGATTGTCATTTCCATAGATATTGGGCATATAGCTCAAAGTCCACAGTGCAGCCCAAGATGAAGTCCTGCTTTCAAGATGGAGCCTGCTCTGTCTGTTTTCTCCTTCAGTTAAGACTCTGTGCTTCTGCTGCAGAGGGCACTGGTTCTACCCCTGGTCAGGGAACTAAGATGCCACACGCCCCCTGGCTTGACAAAAAAAGAACTGTCCTAAAGTTCCACACCTAGGGAGGTGTTTAGCATCAACGGATCAATGATCAGTGGCGGATTCCTTCCCCACCGATCCAATGGGCTAGAAATTTCTGAGGGCTTCCAGTCCTCATTCCATCCTGCTTGTGGGCCAAGCCAGCACTGCTCGTTTGAGAGTGGCCAGGTACAGTGTTTTCTCCCTCCATGCTCAGCTTGGCTGCTGCGATCTTCCTGGGGCTCCTGAGGCCAAGGCTCTTAGTTGTGAGTCCTCAGGTGTCCACGAGTCCACTCTCGCCAGAGGTTTTCACCTGCCCCTGCCGGGGAGCTGGGAAGACAGAGCCTAGAATGGGTACAGACATAGGATGCTGGTGGACCCAGAGCTTCCCGAGGGGAAGAGAAGGGTATCTTTCATTCTTTCCTCATATACTCTTGTAGGGAATGGGTTAATTTCTTTATCAAATTATCCTCCTGCCTGTAAATGACAGCAAGATTTAACATGACTGATCTTATACAATTTTATTAGTATCCAGTGTACATTTCTCTTGTTGGTAAAAGCAGCTAAGTGACCAAACTGAGATAACCTCAGTAATTATTTGTCCTGTCCCTGTGACACTGAGGAAATAAAGGGAATTCTTTAAGTCTCTGCTACATCTTTTATAACATAGGGTTAATAATAGTTTCTGTCCCACAGAGGGTCCTGGGATGGGGGCAGGGGATCAGGTTTAACAAAGGCCTTTGAGACTAGCCAAGCTGGAGGGAAGTGTACGTAGGTGGTATGTGTGTGTGTGATGGGGTAGAGACTGGAAATGTTGTGTCAATGCCGTTTCATAGCGTTTGAACTCACATTGGCCTTTTCTCGCAGTTGTTTTATTAACTGGAGTTTGTGTTCTGCCTCAAATATGTACTAAGACCTCTCTGATAAACTGCTGTTTTGGCCTGTTTAGGACCCAACCGACTTTGAGTGGAGCTTCTGGATGGAGTGGGGGAAGGAGCGGCTGGTGTGGCTATTCCTTGGCCACATGAGCATGTCTCAAGTCGCCAACCTGCTTTCGAGGAAGGTATGGTTATGTGCATCATTTCCATTTCAGCTTCTTTCTCCTTTGCTGTTTGTCAAGAAGGAACCCTGAGCTAGGAAATCAGGGGGCATGGATATTGGCCTCTGAAGCCTGGAAAAGGTGAGAAAGATTTGTTACTGGTCAATAAGAGAAATTACCAGATAAAAAAATAAAATCAAAACATAAAAGATAAAGATGTGATAAATTGTTAATGTTGGATAAATAAAGCATAATGACTTAACATACATATGTTGTGAAGATTATCACAATAAGCTTAGATAACACCCATCATATAGGTACAAAAAAAAAAGAGAAGAAGGAATGTTTTTTCCTGTGATGAGAACTTTTAGGATCTCCTTGCTTAGCAACTTTCAAGTATACCATATCACAGTAACCACAGTTGTCATGGTGTACACTAGTACTTACTTTTCCGATAATTGAAAGTTTGTACCTTTTGACCACCTTCATCTAATTTTAAAGAACCTTCCAAGCAAACCTAATAATAAAGAATACATGATTTTGCATTCCTAAACTGATAACGAATATACCTACCTCAACCTTCATTAATGGGTTTCTTTTCTTCCACAAGTTGGTTTGGTGTTTTGTTATGACATCAACCTTTCTAGAAATTTAATACTTTTATTTCTAACACAAAGCTTCTCTGCCCACATGCGGATGATTTGCTACCCCTAGGTCTCAGCTCTCCCATCTGTAAAATGAATAGCTCATGATCTGTATTTTCTTTCCCTGTTGGGGGAAGATGAACTATTTTGGGGAGGATCTGTGAAATGAAGCTGCCGTGGGAAGGGGCCAGCTGTTGTGGAGTGGAATAGCCCTGGATGACAGATTAGTTCCTGGACTTGCTCACTCATTAGCTTTCTGACCGTGGAAAGGCTTTTCATCACTGAATCTTGATTCATCATCTTCTATAAAGTAAGGTTAATGAAATAATAATATTTTTTTCCCTTTTAAAAAATGGTGGGCTTTTCTCTATTCACAATAACGAAGACATGGAAGAAACCTTAATGTCCATTGACAGATGAATGGATATAGATGTGGAAGTGGAACATCATGTTAGTCGCTCAGTCGTGTCCAACACTTTGCAATCCCATGGCTCCTCTGTCCATTGAATTCTCTAGGCAAGAATACTGGAGTGGGTTGCCGCTTCCTTCTCCAACAATGGAATAGCACTCAGCCATAAAAAGAATGAAATAACACTAGATGTAGCAACAAAGACGAATCATTCAGTGTCATAGTAATCCAAGTCTGTGCCCCAACCACTGATGCCAAACAAGCTGAGGTTGACCAGTTCTATGAAGACAACACCTTCTAGAACTAACACTAAGAAAGGTGTTCTTTTCACCACAGGGGATTGGAATGCAGAAGTAGAAACTCAAGAGATACCAGGAGTTTGGCCTTGGAGTACAAAATGAAGCAGGGCAAAGGCTAACAGAGTTTTGTCAAAGAGAACATGCTGGTCATAGCAAACACCCATTTCCAACAACCCAAGAGATGACCTCTACACATGGACATCACCAGATGGTCAAAACTGAAATCAGATTGATTATGTTCTTTGCAGCTGAAGATGGAAAAGCTCTATACAGTCAGCAAAAACAAGGCCTGGAGCTGACTGTGGCTTAGATCATGACCTCCTTATTGCCAAATTCAGGCTTAAATTGAAGAAATTAGGGAAAACCAATAGGCAATTCAGGAATGACCTAAATCAAATCCCTTTTGATTATACAGTGGAGGTGATGATTAGATTCAAAGGATTAGATCTGGCAGACAGGTGCCTGAAGAACTATGAACTGAGGTTCATAACATTGGACAACAGAGGGTGACCAAAACCATCCCCAAGAAAAAGAAATGCAAGAAGCCTGGGTGGTTCTCTGAGGAGACTTTACAAATAGCTGAGGAACTAAGAAAAGCAAAAGGCAAGGGAGAAAGGGAAAGATATTCTACTGAATGCAGATTTTCAGAGAATAGCAAGGAGAGATAAGAAGGGCTTCTTCAGTTAACAGTGCAAAGAGATAGAGGAAAACAATAGAATGGGAAAGACTAGAGATCTCTTCAAAGAAATTGGAGATAGGAAGGGAACATTTCATGCAAAAATGGCCACGAAAGGACAGAAACGGCAAAAACCTAATACAAGCAGAAGAGATTAAGAAGAGGTGGCAGGAATACACAGAAGAACTATACAAAAAAGGTTTTAATAACCTGGATAACCACAGTGGTGTGGTCACTCACCTAGAGACAGACATCTTGGAATGTGAGGTCAGGTGGGCCTTAGGAGGCATCACTATGAACAAAGCTAGTGGAGGTGATGGAATTCCAGCTGAGCTATTTGAAATCCTAGAAGATGATGCTGTTGAAGTGCTATATTCAATATGCCAGCAAATTTGGAAAACTCAGCCGTGGCCACAGGACTGGAAAAGGTCAGTTTTCATTCCAATCCGAAAGATGGACAATGCCAAAGAATGTTTAAACTACAGAACAATTGCAGTCATTTTACATGCTAGCAAGGTACTGCCCAAAATCCTTCAAGCTAGGCTTCAACAGTATGTAAACTGAGAATTTCCAGATATACAAGCTATATTTAGAAAAGGTAGAGGAATCAGAGATCAAATTGCCAACAGCTGAAGGAGCATAGAGAAAGCAAGGGAATTCCAGAAAAACATCTACTTCTGCTTCATTAACTGTGCTAAATCCTTGACTGTGTGGATAACAACAAACTGTGGAAAATTCTTCAAGTGATGAGATTACCAGACCACCTTACCTATCTCTTGAGAAACCTGTGTGCGGGTCAGGAAGCAACAGTTAGAACAACTGGACATGAAACAATGGACTGGTTTAAATGGTAAACAGCCATTTGACTGGCTCAAATGGCTCAGACGGTAAAGAATCTGCCTGCAATGCAGGAGACCTGGGTTCTATCCCTGAGTTGATATGATCCCCTGGAGAAGGGAATGGCCACCCACTCCAGTATTCTTGCCTGGAGATTTCCATGGACAGAAGAGCCTGATGGTCACAGAGTTGGAGAGAACTGAGAACTAATACTTTCACTTTTTTTCAGTCAGACAGTGTGAGATGTAGACTAACCGTCTATTTGTGGCCGGATGGACCTCCTCCTTTCCAAATTTTCTCCATTTCCAGCTCCTGTTTTGCACCCACCACCATCAGAAAACTACCTAGTTTAGGATATAGGTGTTCCTCTGGTTAATTTGCTTGCGGCTCTTCTTGTTAGGAGGCCCTCTTCAGGGTGGCTCAGAGCTCCTGGCTGAAACCCAGCTTTGTCACTTTCAAGCAAGGCAATCTTAAAAGCCAGTTAGTTAATATCTTGGAGTCTTTCACCTCATTTTGCGCATCAGGGATGGTACCGCTGGCTTCCTGGGGTAGTGGTAAGGGTCTAACAGTCTTCAAGGTTGTGCTAGTGTATGATGACAGCCAGCAAAGAGGTCTGCTGGCATTCGCCGTGTGCCGTGCCTGCGGTCTGCATGGGCTCCTGGGAGCAGTTCCCTCCGCGGTGTTCAGAAAGGAGGCATCTGTCTGAGATTCTGAAACCCCAGAGGGTCTCTTCAGCCGTACCTACGTTCCTCTCCCGCGGGGCTTTCTCTGACCCTGTTTCAGGCTTGTGCTGGCTTGTGGGAGAAAGGACAGGGACACACAGACCAGGAGCTGAGTGAGAAGTGACACAGGAGGGCAGATTCTGAGGCCGCCTCCCGGGAGGGGTGGCCACGACTGCCTGGGGGTGTCAGGGAAGGCCCCCCATCCCCGCCCCAGGAGGTGGCTTGAAGAGGGTGGAGCCGTCTGCTTATTTCAGCCTCCTGCATCTCCTTATAGGCCTGGGCGGACAGGTGGGCTTGTCTTTTTATCTGCAGCGCACATCTTAGGCAAACTCAGTAGGCGGTTTTGTTTGCAGTTTTCTTGGAATGAGGCACAGTTCGCACTGACTCATTTGTGTGTGTGTGTGTCCCATCCCTCTGTGACCACAGGTTTGATTTGTGTGACAGCTGGCGGGCAGGGTCCTGCTGAGGCTGGAGCACACTGCTGTCTTTGTCCGTGTCCGCTTGGTCCTTATGTAAGTGTGAACCTCAGCTCTGGCCCCGTAAGCTCTGTGCTTTCACCACCTGGACTGAGCGTCCCAGATGCCCTTAATTTGGGTGGCTGTTTTTGGTACTTATTCAGGGTGGAAGATTTGGGCTGCACTTGTCTTTTATCTCCCCTTCTCAGGGGCATCACAAACTGTGGACGATGCTATAGAGACAGGCATTATCACTACTCGTGGTTCCAACCTTGAAGGATGCTTCTGGGCTCTGTTCTCTGTCTCGTCCCATCTCTCTCTTTGCTGGCCCTGAAGAAGAGGTTCGTTTCAAAAGCGTGGTTTTCTATTTCTTCTTCTTTTTTTTTTCCATGACTAGTAATAAAAACTTTCCACCGAGCTCCCCAGCCAAGGTTAAACGTTGTTTCTCTGGGTTGGGCTCTCTCTTTGGGTCTTGGCAAGACTGGCTCTAGAGCAGTGCCGTGGGAGGGGAGGCTGAGGATCGGCTCTGAGCTTTGGCCATGGGTTTGTTAGGCTTGGAGTGTGTGTGGGGCGGGTCAGACAGTGGCCTCCTTTCTTGAACATCCTCACCACATGAGGCATAGTGTTCTCTGCCCTCAGAGCCAAAAACACCCCTGGGTGAGCTTTTCGAGAAGGCTGGGTGCCGTGGCTGACCAGAGCGTGCCCTCTCACCCGACCTTTGATCTGCAGAACCCACGTCGTTAGCGTTGGGCCCCGACCAGCTGAGCTCATCGGCTACAGGCCTGAAGAGTGTGGTCCTGTGGCATTGGCTGAGATGAGGGTGCTCACCTTTGGAAAGCTGTGGTGCTCCTTTCCAGCATTTCGTCAAAACCACACACCTAATAGGAATCTCATGCACTAATGGATTTCTTGGAGCCAGACTCCTCCACCTCCATCAGGGCCTCTCTTAGGAGAGGTGAAATTGGCTTTGTTTGGGCCCATT